ACACGCCTATTTCGACTTAGCCGCCGTAGGTTACACGAGGATTGGAAAGAATTAGCGACAGACTCGCCGATTTGCCGAATTACAATATGCATAATGTGTGATTTGCATATTTGTTATAGTTCTCGTGTAGCTGTGATATAGTTTCTGAATCCGCTTTAGTTAATTGATTATCTTTTTATTGTTCTGGCAATCGATACATGACGAAACTGTTTGATTTGGGTTACACCACTTTGCTTTGACAAAATCAGTATTTGGATTTAAAGAACATAATGAAGATCGTCGATCTGTGTGGCCAATAAGTATCAATATTTGGATTTAAAGAACATGGTAATGATTGACGACTTTTGTGGCCAATAAGCATGCAAATCTGATATATAGCTCCGTGACATGTCTATTTAATGAGGCCATGCAAAATTAATTAATAGGTTTTCGTAATCAAATTTTGGAAATTTTTTGTTTTAATAACTAGGTGAGTTTTTTTATGGATGAAATTAAGAAAAAAAGACCAGTCTCACATTAAACTTGTATGGCTTAATGTTTTTTTCTTTGTTTTAAACAGAAGTATGCATGTAACCAAACGTCATAATACGCATATCATGAATACACGTGTAACTAAACGTCATAATGTAAGTGCGCGTGTAACAAACTTAATACCTTTATTTTTAAAGTACCATATTTGTACACATGCATTCTATTCTTTTGATTTTCTCTTGCATCATAATCTTCATAATCTTGTGCTTGCATCATTTTGGCCATCGATAGCTATATTTATATGCATTTATTTATTACATCACTTTCGCTGGTTAATAAGTAAACTATCGGAATCCTAATTCTGACTAAACATTTATATTGTTGAGAAATTGAGATGTTGCAGGGTGTGTTCCGTATCAAAAAGGTCCATTTTCATATAAATATTTCGAGTAAATTATGGTCTAGAAATATCGTATAAATGCAATTTATTTTCAGTTTAAAATTCAATTTTATGCACTGGTTTTTATTGTATAATTAGCACTTGTGTTTTATAGCAGTTCTTTTTATCGATTACTCAACTATTTAAAACGGGACCTTTTTAATAAGGAACACTCTATGTTTTCTGACCTTTAAACAATAATTAATAAATTGAACATACAATCTATACTCTGTTTATTAAAGAAATAAAAAATGGTACAAATTCCGAAAAATAAAATTGTCTCAAGAATTGAAAATTGTAAAGAAAAATGTAAATGGTATGATTTCTCAGACATTATTGAGATAAGAATGAATATTTATAGGGCTAAATGGAATAGTAAGATTGTCGTCCTCAAAAAACCGCAAGAATTCGAGAGAATTCGAAAGACAGGTGTATTAAAAGCATTGACCCACGATATCCAACATCCTAACATTATTAGATTTTATGCTATAACGAACGGTGAATAATAGGCTACTATTTTATGTAAACTGCTTAAACCTATGTTAACTAATTAATCTATAGATTCATTTGGAGACACTGTTTTAGTGATGAAATTTGCTGAAGGTGGAAATTTACGACAGTATTTAAATATTAATTTAAATATAACCATTACCGACAGATTAAAGATTGCGAAAGATATTGCGGAAGGTCTTAAATTTTTACATAATAGTGGCATTATTCATGGTGATATGGTAAAATTATATGTTTTTCTATAATACTTTTAATATATTTATTAAATTAATTGTAGATTAATATTTATAGCATACAGAAAATATTTTGGTCCACAAAGGAAGAATGATGATTACTGATTTTGATTTCTCGGTATTTTCAAATTCTGAGAGTGAAGTTCACGGCGTCGCGGCATTCGTTGATCCTTGTGTACAAAATTTCACAGGTAAAATTATATTTACAACTAAATATGATATATACGGATTAGGCGTTATTCTTTGGGAGATTTCAAGCTGTCGTATACCATTTGATGGCAAAACATTTTTAGAAATAATGGCACTTACACAAAATGGTGTGAGAGAAATCCCTACAAGAATGTCATTAAAGTATGATAACCTTTACAAGAGTTGTTGGGATGGAAATCCAGATAATAGACCTGAAGCAAATGTTATTCTCGAAACGTTAAATAAGATTTTTGAAAAATATAAAACTTTGGTAAGCGTCTAAACTCCATAGAATATACACAAAATGTACTATATTCTTTACTATCATGTCCAATCTTGAACTTTGACAATAAAACCTAAAGCCAATGCTTTAATTAAATATATCTCTGGCATTTCTAAGATATCTGTACAAAATGATAATTCTCACAAAAAAGGACTTCGAACACCAAAAATTCATGCAGAAATACAAACAAAAATTTAGATTAACAAAATAATAACGATAAGCAATAAATTAATCATTTTATTTATTTCGAATAAACTCAATAAACGTAATATTAATTACAGCCAAAAAGTATTATGATTACGGTATTTGAAATAGCATGTTTATTGAATTTTATGCTTTTAACAATCGCTTTCCATTTTGAAGAATCAAAGAAAAAAAAAATCATTTACTAAATCAATTATGATAATATATTTTGAGAATTGCTATTTCCACCCCCATTTTTGCTAATGCCACCCCCTAAATACAAAAAAGTGCACCGGAAGAGATATAATTATTAAGTAAACCTCTTTTTTGGTATTAATTAAAGGTGTTTATTAGATCTTTCCGGTTCCAATGGTTGTAAAATCATTAAGATCGGATAGGTGGTTCTTAAAATATTTATACCTAAATTTTATAATCTTTAATCCACTTTTAACAAAGAACTACCAGTCTGCTTTTAATAGTTTTACCATCATTAGGACCAGAAAGGTCTAATAAACAACTTTAATTAATACCAAAAAAGAGGTTTACTTAATAATAATATCTTTTCCATAGCACTTTATGTATTTTTGGGGTGGCATTAGCAAAAATGGAAGTGAAAATAGCAACACTCTATATTTTTAATAAAAATATTGAATTGACAATACCACATGATTTTCGAAACTTTTTTGGGAGGATTGACCATCTGAGAATAAAGTTACAGTACTATAAACCCAATAAACCTAATAAAAATTACAGTACTATAAACCTAATATGGTAAGACTACGTCAAAAGAAGCTACTGACATTCATATATTCTAAAAGAGAAATCCCTGTAGAAGGCACTCTACTAAAATTAGTAAAGCTGTACACAAAATGTTTAAATGAAAATCCTAATGCAAAATCTCCCTCGAAACTTTAAATCATCGATTTTTAATTTTTAATAAATATATATTGTACATATGAGTGCATGAGAGTGAAAATCATTAAATGTGTTTCCAGGTTTTCACTTAGTAAATCGGCCAATCAGGTTGCAAAAGAAAGATTGTGGGATTCATAGAGATTTAAAGAATGTTATAATGCTATTGTTTCATAGAAATTTAAGCTACTCGAGCTTTTAAAAGAAGTAGTGTAATACGTAAAAAAAAAATCATTTATCAATTGTGTAACTATATCGGAAGAACGTTTGACGTTATAATTTCGTTAACGGGTGCAGCGGTCGTGTAACCACATGATGGAAGATCAGATCAGACTATATTTCGTATTACGTATATCACAAACAGATTCAACTCACACATTTCAATTGTTTTAATCTTTTTTTCTTCTTGATTTTCACATGCGTAGACACTTTAAGAATTTTTATTTTTATTTTTTCCGTTCTAAACTATTTATATGTATCATTCCGTTGACTGTAGATGACAGCAGAAAAATATTACTAACCTCCAGAGACAAGGGTTTTGGCTGTGGGGATAATATGATGGGTTACGACTATGTAGTAGAATTAGAATGGTAAAATGACGAATATCGTGAATCCAATTACCTCTCGCAGGTGTTCAAGAGTTGTTTAAGCTTGCTCCTGCCTTAAAGAACAAGAGAATAATGAGGTTTCAGCATCTACTATTCATCGTATACTCAGAAACCATGGTCTTGTATCAGGGATTAAGAAAAAAAAATTTTACCTAAATAAATATCACTGAAACATTGACTAAATCTGCAATTATATATATATATATATATTGGTTTTACAAAGACTGTTCAAGGTAATTTGTTCAGACAAGTTGAAATTTAAGATTTTTGGATCGGATAGCAAGCAATGCTACTGGAAACGTCCTGGCGAACCTTTAAACTGTTTCATTTTAAATCTGCATTCAAATTTTCTTATGATTTAGGAAGGGAGCACCACAAAAAAACAGTGTGATGACGATATCAAGAATGCAAGTAGTGTGGCAGTAACATCGTTATAGAAGGAGCAGATGCACGCCGACAACTTTTTACAGAACCAAGAGTTTATGGTTTAACTGCTTTTAAAACTGGATTGTCACTAACAATGATGGACTTTAGAAGTATTATGCTTTACGTTTCACGGTGTTGGTAGTTTTTGCAAGATCGATAACAGGAAAGATACTAAATTATACTGTTATATACTTCGTGAAGAGTTTATGAATACTGTTAGGAATCACAGGTTTAATTACACAATATTTTACAAAAAAGATGAATTTGAGTTTATTTTTAAGATTCCAATAAGAATAACAATTAGACAAGATAAACTATAGTTATAATAATAATAAGCGCAATCGACAATTGTTAAGAAAAATAATCTTAATGTGCAGGTCAAATTTTTATTTAAAAAATTGGTTAATTTTGAATTATTTATGATGCATATAATTTAAAATAAAATCTGCTAATTCGAAATGATTTTTTAATAAAAAATGTAAATGTGTAAAAAAATAAACGTTAGGTTTTAAAAACAAATTTTATAAATTTTATGAACGTTAGAAAACAAATGAAATCGGTTATTACTTAAGCATATTTTCATGAAGGTCACAAAAGAACACGAAAAATCCCAATATATTGATATATATAAAACTGGTAATTTTAAAATTAAAGCACAACAAATTTGGAAACTTTTGATTTTATATTTGTCTTAATTTATTACTCTGTATATAATAAATCGATAGATCGTAACTAAGATTGGAAGTTCTCAAATATGGCTCGACTCTTTAGTTTAACCCTGATAATATTCTAGAGCTGCTGTAAAGGCCAAATTAATTGACTTTCCACCTTTCATAATTATCCAAGAAAATTTTATAAATTCTATTGACATTCATGCTGATGAAGGTCTTATACCTCAAGGAAGATCATTTGATACGTAATCCAGTGATGAGACATTAGGGTGTTCAACGGCCTATTAAAATCATATAGTTAGGGTTACTAATGATCATCACTAATTGCGGATTTTCTAA